ATCACTGTGTCAATTTCAAAACATTCTTTCTAAATTGCTGATTTATTGAAACAAGGCTTTGTAAATCGTATTCTTGTTTTATTATTATGCTTCGCATAAAACCCGCTTTTGTCAATGAAACTTCATGTGCAAAGTCGATGTAAGGGAACTGCTATAGTATTTTCAAAATAAAGCTTCAATATATATATATATAAGAGATTCAATTGGAACGGGATGGGGTGTGGGTGGGTGTGGGTGTGGGTGTCCTTTTCATCAACACCTACACCCACCCACCACCCCACACCCAATTCTATAAGAAAGATCTATGGGAATAGCATCTATCATCACCGTGGTCAGCTCGTTGAACTCTATCAACTGAGCTCTTTCTCATTCCAATCCACGATTAGCACTGAGGAAGATTTTCTCGTTAGCCTGTATTGGCCACAAAAAACCAAAAGATACAATTCAAAGGTCGAAGCCATGAGTATCGATGCTGTGAATGATGAATTGGCTATCACCAAAGCTTTTATTTTGCTGAGGCGCACACTAAGATAGAACAACTCTTTATTTTTTTCTGCCTCATTGCTTGTTTTCTCGATGTTGTTCATTTATTTTGTCTTTTTTTATCAGCCACTGTGAAATACATTTATGTATTGTGGTAGCTTATTTCATTGTGACCTTCACACTCAAATGAACTTTGTATTTGATTACTTTAAGGATCAATCTTTTTGTTAATTTAAAAGAAATAAGAAAAAGTATTTAAGATGATGAAGAAAGAAAAACTAAACTCAATAAACTCTTTTTTTTGTAATTTGCTTTTAAGTAAAATTTCTATTGATGAAATAAAGTAAATTTGACAAATTGATCAAATATAAATGAAATAAAATTGACAAAAATATTTATCTTTAAACGAATAACTTCGTCATTTTGAATAAAAGCATAATCTGAAAGTCTTTTAAAAATGCATTCTAAAACGAATATTTTCTATATAATATTGATTGGATTTATAATATTATTAAACATTGATAGTTCATCATCAGACCATGATGATCATCATGATGATCATCATGATGGAGGTAAGTTTTGTTTATATTATTTTAACACTGATTTAATCTATAATATCATTGATGGATTTTAAGTGGCGAAAGATCGGTCATTTTTCTCTTCAGAAATCTTTTTTTTCGATGTTTTCTATTGAAAAACAAATAAAAATAACGAATTAATAGTACCTCGAATGAGTCTTAAATAGAATTTTTTTTGTGTATAATCATTTCTTCTACAGTCAAAATATCTGACCTTCACTTTCCAAAATGATAGATCAAACATTGTAAAATAAATTCTCTGAAATAAAAAATGATTCATTAAAGATCCTTCGGTATATTTACACTCACTCTACATAGGAACTCAGTGTTTTTCTGGTGATTCATTAATTAAATTATCAAATGGTGAATATAAAGAAATTGGTAATCTTCAATCTGGTGATGAAATTATAACTATTGATCAATCCAAAATAATTTCAACAGAAATGGTAATGATATTAGATAAACAAATTTCAAAACAAGGTATCTTATTTATAATTATTGAGAATTATATATACATAATAATTTGATTTTAGCATTATTTTATACGTTAAGAACAGATTCTGATAATGAAATAAGTTTAACACAATATCATTTAATCCCAACAATAGATTCAAATGGAAATGAAAATTATTTATTTGCAAAACAAATTAAAATAGGAGATTATTTATTTGTTCTATTTAATGGAAAATTAAAATATTCTCCAGTAATAAATATAACAATTGAAATGAAAAAAGGTTATTATGCTCCATTAACAATGAAAGGTACTTTATTAATAAACAATGTTTTAGCAAGTTGTTTTGCAAATGTTAACAATCATCATTTAGCACAATATTATATGGCACCTTTTCGTTATTATTATAAATTTGCTCAATTTATGTCTGTGTATGATCCATTTAATATTAATAAAACTGAAGGTTTATATTCGACAGTTAATATGATGTTTTACTTCGCACGTTATTTTAGATCAGATGCATTATATTTATGATATAATCATATTTTTGCTCTAGATCTTATAATTATATTTTACTGTTTTTACTGTCTAAATAAAATACTCGTCCATTTCATTTTCCGATCATTCAACAAATCTATAAGCATTGTTCTCCTTTATTCATTATTTTGTTAAGTTATTTAAAAAGATAAAAGTGAATGATATTAACAATTAAGATGTACAAATAACAGTGCGTTTTCTTACACTCAAATTGATTAAGATTGAAAACGATTTATTTAACTTTCTTGATAAGTAACAATTTAGCATAAACGATTAAAAAGGATAATACGGCCATCGATGTCAAAGCAAAAAAAGTATTTTCACATACTCCAGTCCGATGTATGATTGATAGATCGTTCCTGTAAGACGTTATTGGCTGAGAGAGGATATACATTGATTTGATTAGTTAAACAGAATTACAGATTGCGAAACTCGTTGACCGTTAAGACATTGGAAGCATAACGAAAGGTGCTTATTCATTGAATCCAACGAAGAAAACTGAGTACACTATTCAATTTGACAAGAAAATCACTGAATATCATCATGATGACGAAAACAAGAACTAGAACAATCAAAGCTAGGGCTAAACAGTTTTTAAAAGATCTCTGAAAATGTTTTATCTTTGGACAAAATCTTACTAAAAATAGGGATACTTGCTCAATAAAGAAACACATGGCCGAGCCAAATAGTTTAGCCATGAATATGGTAAGAAGAAAGACAAAAAACTGTCTAGAAGTCTGTTGCAAACCAGTCATAAAATAGCAAATCAAACTGGAGACTCACATTTTCCTAGACAAAGTAAAGTTTACATCTTTGAAACGTGTTTTCAATCAAAATTGGTTCACTTTGCTACTTACATGAATGAACAATTTTTCACGCCTGAACCTATCATTTGAGGTATTTTGTAATAGAGAAGATCAGTGAGTAGACCAAGAATAATAGCGACAGCAATTTGCCACATTAAAAATGCTAAATTACATAAACAATTGCGAATAGTTCGCTGAACAAACATAGTAAAAATCGGACACAATCGATCGACCTGACTTTTGTATAATGGAAACTTTACGACTGAATACATTATCGGAAGAAATAACAGGAGTGCGACTATGTATAGATGAATGATGATAGTTTATGCAGAGATCTTCAACTATAGAAGTATAAGTGACTGTGTTTAGTACATCGAGCGCAAAATCAGCTGGATTGTCATGCTGCTCACAAGTAAAATCTTGCTCAATAAAATATGACATCATATTAGTAGATAGGCTAAAATCAACAGTATGACAGTATCGAACAACTCGAAGATTGAATAACGTGATTGGTGAATGGGAAAAATGATCATACCTAGATCAAAGAAAATCAAAATTTCTACTAGTCTTTTACTAAGAATATATCTTGAATATTGCTTCCATCCATTTCGCGAAAGGCCATGCAGACATTTCATGATATTGCAGGCTGTTGATGTGTCAATACCTGAAATTTTTAAAAGATGATGCAAAAATGGTTAGTTTTTCTTTTACTAGCCAGTGATTGGTTCATCAAGAAACAAAATTAGAGGTGATAGTACCGTTTTCATGGCAATACAAGCTTGTTTCCTTTCTTCACCTGATACTTCTTACTGTGCTTCAGTATCCATACGCGTGTTGGTACATTTAGTCAAGTCCAGCTACTCAATAATTCTTTCTACTTGCTCCAGTCGTTCTTTACGAGTCACTGATTGTAGTAGACGAAGATTAGCGAAGAAGACAATATTTTCGTGCGCAGTCAGTATTGGGGTGTGAGCGTGAATATGAATAAAGAGATACAGTATACTCATACCCATATCCTTGGTACGCAAAAGTTTTGAGTGTGGATGCGGTGTGGGTGAGTCTTCTCTTCACCCATATCCACATCTATGTATTATTACAACTAAAATATCAGAATTTGAAGATGAAAATAAAGTATTGATCCTGTCGTGTTCAACTTTCTTGATTACAAAGATTGAACAAGGACAAGCAACAACGAATATTTATTTGAACGAATAATGTTTAACACATATGTTTGATAGTAATAGATCAGAAGAATATACAATTAAGTCACCTGCAGGTCTACTAGAACTTGTTGGAAGTAGTTTATTGCATAATATGAGTCAGATATTACAGTAGGAGAGTGAGATGTTACTTAAAAACTTTAGTTTGAGTTCATTGTCCTGTTTTTTGTGGAATAAGGGAACTGGAATTGAAGGGTTATGTTGTTGAAATTCAGATACTTTATTCTCACTCCTATTAGTTCAAAAGGAAATAACATTGAGTGATTCCATGCAGCAGCGTATATGGGATTTGTCCAGCACTGGGAAAACGCTTGGTAAAGTTCTTCTAATCATCAGATAATTCAAAAGCCGACTCAGCCATCGTCTTCTTAACGTAACACAATTGTCATTGACAACCGACATACTAAATGACAAGGCAGACATGTTTAACATGTTCTTATCAATTATCAGCCAATGCACGTAGACCAAGTTATTTTGTGAACATACCATTTTTGCTCTGAATACTTCAATTTTGTTTTCTAACAAAGTATTATCAAGCAAGTGTTTTGAAGAAGAAAATAGTTCCAGAAAATTATATAAAAGTCAATTACTCGACCATTAACTCTTAGTCAAGTTGTTCTCTTATCTGTCAATGCATTATTGATTGGTTCTTCCTTCATAACAGCTAATTTTTCAGATCGTGGTTTTAACATATTATTAAAAATATGAACAATACAATTAAGGTAAATTATCATCGTCTAAGGTTTTGATAAAATTGTTGTCTCGATCTAATACAAAAATAATACCATGCGTTGTGATGTTGAATCCAAAACATTTGAGAACAACTTTGATTGCCTATTGTGAGAAAGACAAAGTTGAAGTAAAAATGTTTATACAGATCAGGGTAGATTTTTCTATACAGCAACAAAATACTATGAACCCGCTTGTCGATTTCAATATACAGTTTATAAATGAGATCAATTGTGTGTAGCTTACAGACACTATCAACGAAATGAACTGTTAATCCAAGATAATAATTTTTTGTTTGAACTTGTCGCTCCACTTGTTTAAGCTAACTAAAAGCATTTCTTCTTTTGCTGTTTGGATCAATTCGATCTTTAGGTTGTCAAGAACTGCGCTTGCTCGTCGTCCAATTTCTCGGGTTATTATCAGTCTAGATGGTACAATATCATTCACTGTTATGCGGCTGAAAAATGACTCTGCAAATATTCAAATGAAGACATTGAAAGATGGATGACAAATTATAAGTTTACTTACCATCACTTCAGCTAAGACATTGTTGAATACCAGTCAGGATTCAACCAGTGATTTTGCAGATCCATGAGTATGCACAGATGTCTTATGGCAAGCTCGACATTATGCAGAATTCTTGATAATAGTAAATTTATTGTTTTCAAATTTGGTTGCTGGTAAATCGGATTAAGATCGACACGATGATGGATTGATGTATTTTGACTTTGTATTGTCGACGACTGTGTATTTCTGTGGTTTTCCTTTTAGCAACATTTTATTGCTTATGTATTATACTTAATGTGATTGAAAGAACGTTGCATAAATAATATTCATACACTTGAAGATAGATGTGTATTGCTTGGCATCAAGACTGGCACTGGAGTAATTGACTTATTAAGCAACACGATTATGTGGCAATCGGATGATGCCGATGGTGGGTGATGAATGAGGAGCACGAGAAAAGGAAAGAGAGAGAGAGAGAGAACCATGCAAAGTGAAGTGATGAGACCATGAACACGGGACAATCGTGTAATACGAAGAAAACGGAGGATAAAACGATCAATACATATTTATAACTAAGAGGAAAGAGAGCAATACATTGTAAAAAGCTTGTCAACGCAGCCTCTTTGGGACTAATATGTGGAACTCACATATTCCATGTAAGCCAGAGCACAATCTAGTATTACCAATTGCAAGAGAACAGTATCCGTTAAGTTTTAGTGTGCTCTCTCATTGATTCCTAGGGAAGCATCCGTGCTCAATAGCCTTTGACCACGATTCTCATGGTAATTGCCTTGTTAAGGAACACCTGCCGACATTACTAGGAAAACTTCGCCTTAAAACTTACATCCTCTGTTTTTCTTCGTAAAATATGTGAGTTCCACAAAAAAAGGGAAGCATGACTATGTCGAAAGTGAGGTAAGAGAAAACGGGAGAGCGCATAAACACAACGAAAAGCATATGGATAACTACGCATAACATGCATAGAACGCACATATGCACTTCTGATCACTGACAAAAGACGCAGAGAAAGAGAAAAAAAATGTACATAAGAAGAATAAAAGTGAGTTCGATTCAAAGATGTAAACAAAGAGATGTTTTTGTCTTTATAAGACGGTAGACACTATACACAGTTATAGACTCGTTTCCTCAACAATTTGCTCGTCAGTTACAATATTTGAAGATGTACGATGGCAACGACTCAAAATTCTTAGCTTAATCCATGTAATTATTTCTATTTCCCGAAATACATTCATATAAACTTTTGAAGGATAAATATAGATAAAGAATGGCAGGGCTAAAGGCATATATAATAGAAAGTCGAAAGCAATATGTAAACAAAGATAAAATTTTTGCATACTTTTCTCTATACAATATGTTCCGGCAATAGTTGTCAGTAATTCTTCCGGAAGCGTACAAATGATAATAACTAGCGGTGCTATAAAGAAATCTTTGTGCTTCGAAATTTGCTGCATTATTAGTGATTGCCATGAATTTCTTTCTAAGTCAGTTAAAATAATTTTACGATGAATAATATGTGTTAATGTGAGGATAATTGATAAAAAGCTTAATAACAACGGTATAATAATGCGTGCATAGAAGCTACCTACCACGCTATGAGCTGTTTTTACATAATCATTTGAAAAATGATGAAATGAACAGACGTAGAATGTTGTTGAAAGTACAGGACTTTTCCCAACAGTACGTCCAAGAGCGTCTATTACACTTCCTGAACAGG